AAGGTCTTGAAGACCCTGGTTGTCTCATGCTCTCACAAAAGCCCTAGTTTGTACGATATCGCCTAAGAAAGCTTCCCAGCTCAAAACATTCAACAAGGCCAATAGGATCAGAATGGCACCATCACTAAGAAAATCAGGTGTGGGGTGCAATAAATCCTATGGGGTGATACCAGACGAATTCGAGTAAGTCTTCCATGTTGTTTGCTTTTATTTTTCTATCAATTTTGCATTTTATTTGAATTTCTAGAAAAATTATTTGTATTAAAATTGTTAGTGGAAGCTTGTTTTTCATTCCTGAATTGTGTCCATTCTATTTAGCAGTAAAAACTCCAAAGTTGTATTTAGGGGTTTATTTCATATTTAAAGCAGTGTATTGTGACACTTGTAAGTGGAATTTAGATTGTTTAATAAAAGAAAAAGAGAATTTTTATTTTACTCCCTCTACTTCCACAACTCCACAAGCCACTTTTTTTCACTATTTATAATAAAATACTTAGAACCCAAGATATCCTATTTTTAATTGAAAATAAAACAAATTAATGACATTTTTACCCTAATAAGATAAATAATTCCATAAGCACTCTGACTAATTTTCTAAACAACTCCTAAAAATATAAAACCTTAGAATCCTTAAAAAAACGGCAAAATCCCTCAAAATAATCCTAAAAAACTCCAAAAATATAGCCCTAAATTTAACTAGAACAGCTCAAAAATAAGAGGCATCTTATCCTACATCAATCTCTCTTGGTTGAAGAAAATTCGTCCTCGAGTATTGAAATAGGCTAAGATGAATTTGTCTCCTTTGATATAGGTTGTCGTGGCTCGTGACATGCATGGATCCCAAATTTCATGTCAAACGAATTTGAAGAAATAAAAAAAGAAATTTCATCGTCGTTAGGCGTACAAGGTGAGGTACACGACTTGGTGTACCTCGTCTTTTTCCAAATTCACACACACACATGTGTATATATATATATATATATATATATATACATAAAGCTACACCACTATAATAATGAACTTATTCCCGACTCCAAAAATTTTCATCATAAAATGCCCTCATATGTATTTCCTTTAACGTTAACTGTTAGTAGTGGGGTTGCAATTTTTTGAAACAGTTAGTAGTTTCTCAAAAGGGGTTAGCATAGGTAGGAATGGAAACCGAGACCAGTAGATTCATAGGTGGTGCTACCACCTTGACCTCAACCCTCATATGTTCAAAATGACTTTTGTCAATAGATAGTTCAATATTTTAGGAAGCACACTTTGTCAATTCAAAATCCCTCCAAAAATCAATTTCCAATTTAAAAGATCCCACTGATTTTTTTAATCATGTTCGAATCTTAGAAGCAATTTAAAATTACACTCTTTTCAAATTTTCAACCAAATTATTGCTAAGATAATTTTTACATTTCTAAAGACACTTTGCACTGTAGCCAAGAGTTTCTAAGTAGGAAATTCTATATCACCATTAGAGAGGTGTATCTTAGAATAATAATTGCTTCGACATTAAATTGGAAAACTTGTCAGTAAGAAATTTTTTGTCAAAAAATAAGAAGTCTATCTCCCACTAGACTACCCCAATATTTTTATTTAAGCATCCCCAAGAAGGATAAGTGCTACTATTAACAGTCTTGAATGGACATTGATAGAAGGGGATGTCTCATGGTTAACTAGTAAAGACGTTTATGATTACTCCACCCTCTTCAAAAGATAGCATATATAATATGTGTATATATATATATATACATATATATATATATATATGTATATATATATATATAAAAGCTTTGTATGTGAACCCACCAACAAATAAAGGATATCTAACCTCAGTTCTCAGCCGTTCGATGTGAATAGATGGCTTGGCTTGCTCATGTTACGATTTCATGCAAAACATTGTTTAATTTTAAATTTTTTTCCTACAAAATATTTTTTGAGGGAAATTTGGGGAATTCACCTCTTCTTATTGGGGTGCTCCTAGCAAACACTAAAAAACTATTTCTGATGAAAATAAATTACCAAAAGCCCCCCTGAAAGTTTTAGGGGCATTTTGATAATTTTCCATCACCTAAAATAAATTTCTATTACTTTTATCATGTTGCCCCCGTTATGCACGTGTTGCAAAATGATTTATAAAATAAAAATTAAAAATAGAACACTGAGTTGTCGGATCAAGATCTAACACTTAAGAGCAACAATATATATATATACACACACACACACACACATACACATATACAAACAATTAACAAGTGCAATGTGAAGCTCAACCTCGATTCATATGTCCAAGACAAAGTGTCTATGAAAATTGACTTGTATCTGAACTCCATGGGGACATGACCCGGACGTTGCAATAAAGCAAAGCATGAAATTATTTTTTTTTTAGATGAAAAAGATGAAATATATTTATGTAAGTTGATGACATATTTGTTAATTTAAGTTCATACTTCTTACTTCTAAGTTCTAAGTTCTAAGTTTTGACTTCCAAATTTGTAGCTTCATGGTGGTCCAACCATGGACAAAGTGCATCTCACTTGTAGAGGATGGCTCAATAGATTTTAAAGTTGATTTGTACATCATCTAAATGCAAGCGCAATTTCAGCATATTCGAGATGGTAGATTCACCATTTGTCCTCATCTCCGACCACCCTTACTCTTTTTGTTTAAAACAATAAAAATCTAATAGCGCAATGATGCATTATGAAACAAAGAAATAGACTCAAGCAAAAGAGCTTGAACAACCTTGTTTTCGTTTAGTATAATTAGAGGCTGAAGGAGCACCATTTAGAGCAGAATCAAATAATCGACTCCATCCTCATGAAAGATATGGATGAATCGAGCAAATGGTTGCTTGAGGAGGATGTTGTAATGAACCCGTTTTCACCAGAGAAAGCTTGACAAGGACCCAAGTACATGAGGTCGCTGGCATGGTGTCGAGCCCTGTGACGGCGACTAGATCTCAAACACAAAGGAAGGGGACGGGGAAGGGGATGGGGATCGGGATGGGGATGGGGATGGGGAAGGGGAAGGATAAGGTGAAGGCAAAGAGGTTGATGGGAGTAAGAGAAGAGGAGGAGGGGGCAGACTCAAAGGAAACAAGGGAAGATGGACGTACGGAAGATGACTGCTATGATGATGATGATGATGGAATCATCATCATCAGATTCAGGTATATTTAATGCTGGTCATGGAGGTGGACATGATGTTGCTAGTGATGATGAAACTCAACCTCACATTTGAGTACATCGTATTTGTTGTCTACTTTTGGGTTTTGTTGGTTTATTCCCTTTGAGTTGTGAATTTTTTTTTGTGAGCTGTGAGGTGTAAGATGTGATTTGTAATGGAAAATTAACAATTTCTAGAAATTGAGATATTCTGATATTGGCTTACTTCACTTGTTACATAGTGAATGAGTCTCGGGTAATTTTCATACTTTTAATGTTTCTAGTCATTCAATTCACTGTTCGAAGTCATGTAAGTCCTAGTTTGATCTACACAATAAAACGATACACAGAAAAACTATAAACAATGTTCTTTACCCCAAAAAAATAGTTGTTCCATGCACAAACCCCCCCCCCGAAGAGGTGCCCAAGTATCTAGGCGACCACCTAGGTGTCTGAATCTGCCTTATTGAAAATTGTTAGCCTTTAAGTCTAGACATGCATTTTTTAATGGGGTTTGGCAAAGTTGATGTGTGAGTTTCCCTCTAAATAGTGATAGATAAAGTTGAAAGTAAATCTTAGGGCTTACAATTCTAAACTTCACTACATTTGGTTTTATCAGGGTTAGTACAATAGAAAAAGTGTATATTTGTTTTGATTCTTTTGTACTCCAGAGAGATCTTGGAAGTGGTCAAGGTTGGTTTTGAGGGATTGGTAAGTTTTTGGTCATCCAAAAATAAGGTCATCTGCATAGAGGTTCTCTAGGCATCCACGGGAGATCAGAGACTTTTCTTTTGATATAGTCATCTGAAGCTCCTCCATGGCTTCCAGGTAAAGTTCTGCATCGCGCACGCCTATACCCGATTACATGAGAGGTCGTTAAAGACTAGAAGTAATTCAGAATCATAGGCAATTGAAATCCCTTCCTCATGCCTGATTTATAATGATGTTGTTGAAGCATTCCATGGTCAGAATGAAGAGATAAGGAGGGTCACCCTATGGTAACCCATTTTGTTCTTTAAATGACCAAAAGGGGTCTCATTTAGGATTATTATTAAAATACGTGTGGATAGTGTGCATATATATGGGTGAGATTTATATAAGATGTCCACCTCGGTTGTGGTTTCTATCATATACCCACCTTAAACAATCAAAGAAAAACACACCTTCAAACTCCACCAGAAGATGCGATTCTGATGCCAAAAACCCTATGATGACCAAAACAATTATTTCTGCCCCTAATTATAAACTTTAAAGTCCCTAATTATATAACTTTAAAGTTCTAAAAAGGGCACAGATCAAGCAGGTCTATAAACACATGAAAAAGGTCCAGAAAACTTACGACAAGATGCACAATTTTTACGACTTAAAATCCTTTTTTTCATTTCTATATATCTTGAGGTGGAGATGATCGATTGGAGGGCTTTCCAGTGCCCAAACAACATTTTCCATTGGGTTTTTGAGAAATGGGTTTTCGAGAAACCGTGCAAGCGTGGAGGGTTTTCCAGCGCCAAAACAACCTTTTCCATTGAGTTTTTGAGAAATGGTGCAAGCGCAGAACTCATAGACGAGCTCAATACCAACCAAACAATCCAAACAGTCAAGAGCGACTTATGAGACATGGATCAATAGATCACAAGCACCTAAAATGCTCTTCTAATATCTAAAACAGAAAAAAGAATGAAGATACACCCAATCTTATATTCATTATCAGAAACTAGGCCCAAAAAACAGCTCAGAAAAACGAGACTCCATCAAACTTCAAGAAATCAATGTACAACGAGAAGGGATATACTCAGAGAAAAAAGGAAAGGGGAATCATGGGGATGGGGTGTTTACCTCTCCTGACCTGCAGTGTCCCATATCTGGGCCTTGATAACCTTGTCCTCCACACGAATGCTGCGGGTCGCAAACTCAACACCAATGGTGGACTTGGACTCCAGGCTGAACTCGTTGCGAGTGAACCTCGACAGCAAGTTTGATTTCCCAACCCCTGAATCTCCGATCAAAACCACCTTGAACAGATAATCGTAGTCATCATCCGCCCTATACGCCATTCTCCCCCCTCTCTCACTCTATAATTTCTCTCCGTCTGGAAAGGAAAGGAAAAGAAGCAGCAGATCTCCACTTTCTCGAGCGAGCTTGTGGTTTTTGCTTTAGTCTCCACTTTCTCGAGCGAGCTTGTGGTTTTAGCTTTAGTACAAAACTCAAAAGCTGATAAGTAAAGAGAAGAAGAGCAGCTGCGCTTTGAAAAGGCAAAAGACAACCATCTCCCCTCTGAGCTGCTTCTAAAGGCAGTTGGAGGCAGCGCCCGAGACACGAGATGGACACCGACCGGCGTTATTGATTGTTAGACCAACTATTCTTACCGTTTGGCGCGCCGTGACTTTTCGCCTTTTATTTATTTATTTATGAAGGTGACAGCGAAACTCGCCCCGTTTCCGTTATATAATTTAAAAATATGAATAACGAGACCATTTATATAGGAAAGGTAAAAAATCTGACTTCCATTCTACTTTAAAAAAAGAGGTACGGCCTGTCTTCCCCGATGAATTATCTAAAAAAGAAAATACCATTTATGTCAAAATATATAGGGGTCATAACTATTTTTTATTGTTGGATATGAAATCGGATGGTTGAAAATCTATCCGACACAAAATCGAAAATAAGATGTCTTGTATGTTATTATGCTTTCAATCTATTGGATTTGATCCTATAGTTTAAAATGATGGTAACATTTTTGTGTTAAAAGCAAATGGTCTCGAAATATACAATCTTATATTGTATTTCCCCTCTATCAAGATATACATTAACTCCTTCAGGCAAAACATTTATTGGAGAAATTTTTATTTAATTAAAATTTCATGATTCATATCATTATAGAAGAAGCAGTTTATGTGTCCAAGGATGTATAACTACACTTGTGTCCCTGGAGGCATCACGTATGTGTCAAAGCATGCATAACTACATTTGTGTCCCTCGAGGCATGGATAGGTTGATTGTGGTCTCTCCAAAAAAAGGTGAAATGAATGGTTTGAAAAAAAAATTCAAAAACTCATCACTTTTAGTACTGAGAGTTTATTTTTTACTGCATTAAAATTAGTGTCCAAAATCTATCTTGAAAACCAATCACAAAGAGAAGACTCAAAAATTGTGGCCGTAATTATAACTAGATGATTATTTTTCTAGAAGAAAATTGGATTTTGAGCTCTTAAAAATTTAAATGATTCCTCCAAAAATTGTATGGTTCAAGTGCAATCTTGGATGCTAGTTTTTCAGGCACATAGAAAGTGGTAGGTGATTTTATTTTATGTTTTCCCTTTGAAGTTGGTTGCATAGTTGATAGCACCATAATATAGAATCTTCTATAATTTGAATCACATAAGTTTGTATTCCCCGTCTGATAGGATCAAATTGTATCCTCTCATATCCAAAAAAAGGCTCTAACATCTTAATCCTCAAAAATACAACTCCTAGTTGAATTTTGTAGTGCACTCATCTCCCTCCTTTTATCTCTTTCGCTCTCTCGTATCTTGCATCTCTAAACCATCCTCCCATATTCTCTCCGGAAAATATCTGACAGCAAGCCTCTTGAGCCGCCTATCCTTTGAAAACCTTGCCAAATATTAAAACTCCAGCCAATCTTTTGAAGCCCCACAAGACCCACGACTTAGCCTGGGAAGCAATTAAAGCTGCAAAAATCAAGCATTGGGGGCTTGATTTCAGGTATTTTAAACTAATTGGAAAGTTGGCTTTAGGCGATATTGCACTATTTATCTCTCTAGATTGAGAGGAGGGGATTCTTACTACGCCATGAAAGTTGTGGACAAAGAGGCTTTAGAGGAAATGAGAAAGCTCCACATTGAAGATATGAAGAGGAAGATTTTGGGGATGCTTAATCATCCATTTATGCCGATTTCGAGGCCTCCCATTTCCCTTGTGTGGTGACGGAGTTTTGATCTCCATACTCCCTCTGAGGCATAGGCAGAAAGGGAAGAGGTTCAACGAGCTCAGCCAGGTCACGGGCCTAGAAAGACAAAATGTAGAGAGAGATGAATTGCATTGTTGGTTGTAGCTGAGAAAAAGAGTATTTGGGACACATGGTTTGGTCCTGCTCTTTTGGAACTAAAGTAGAAAGACAATCGTGTGATACATATTGCTTGTAACATATTTGTCTTTATAAAATACAATTAAACATGTATAAAAGTATATTATCATTATAATATATAATTCATATTTAGCAATAGCATTTAGATTTCTATAAATTTGAATATTCAGATTGTGTTTTGTTAAACATAAAATTTATAGATATATATTGAGTAATGATCTTATGAGACCCTCCCACACCCATGTAATAATTTTTCTAGATATCTGTGTCAAATTTAATAGTGATCCTTTAGAGTCCTAAACCCCTGGATGTTGGAGGGTCACATAAGCTCATTAATATATATATATATATATATATATATATATATATATATATA